TGTGTGTGTGTGGCCAGCTCAGCCCACCAGGGGGCAGGGCTGGCTGGCATGTGGTGCTGGGGGATTGAACCGCTGTCCCTGTGCTTTGCTTAGCTTAGCTTGTTCTAAGTAGGTGCTTTAGACCACTGAGCCATCTCACCAGCCCAAAGTCTTTTCTTTTCTTTTTTTTTTTTTTCTTTGGCAGAACCGGGGATTGAACTCAGACCCTTGCGCTTGCCAGGGAAGCACTTATTCCACTGAGCCATCTCCCTGGCCCGTCCTCTTTTGGTCTTGGATTTAATGAACTTTATCTGAGCAATGGTGCTTGTAATCTCATTGGTTAACCACAGTTTTGTTCTACCTCATGCCCACCTAAGCAAGTTCCCATGCTCTCCACCTTAGACCTGCCTCACTGCATGATTTTACTCTAAAAAAATCCCTAAAAGGTACAACTTCCTGGGGCAACCTACTCGGGAACCCTCTTCTGTCCCTCTCTTGGACAGAAGCTTTCTTTCCTCCAAAAAATATTCTGCTCTTAACCTCCGTTATTCCTAAAATTCATTCTTCAGTTTTAGAAAACATAAACTTTCCCAGGTACCTTTCGGGTTAGGATTTTCATTCCCCTATCTCAGTTCCTGCTCAGCTTGCTGCCTCTATCTCAAACCCAGACTAATCTCCTCTAAGGAACCAGATGAGGAAAGAAACCAAGCAATTATCAGGGACTAATCAGATTAGAAACCCCCCAAATGATGGACGGCGAAGGCTTAAGAAAAAGAGACAAGTGGTATGATTTTAGGGCTCCAGGAGGGTCAAAACCCTTTAGTACTGGACTGGACATATAGCTCAGCAGCACAGCACCTGCCTGACAAATGTGAGGTTGTGACTTTGATTCCTGGTACCAAATTAAAAAAAAAAAAAAAAAAGGCAGGCCTTGACTGGATCAATTCTGCTGGCACCTCATTACTGGGTGTGGTGTAATCCCAGCACTCGAGAGACTGATGCAGGGAGATCTTTGGGAGTTCGAGGCCAGCATGGCCTGCAAAATGAGCTCAAGGCCAGCCTGAACTGCATGGCAAGACCCACTCTTCAAAAGACAAATTTTAAAAGAGCCCTCTAGTAGAATTCTGAGATTCTCTGGGAGCTGAGACAAAGAACTTCTCTGGGTAGACCATATTCATTTGGTTTTCAAACAAGGCATTCTTAAGAAAGCATGGGAATTGGAACAGGATCTTCGGAGTTAGTTCAAGGACTTCTCCAAGTAATAGGTTCTGTTAATTCAGAACCATGTCATCTTCAGGAAGATCTTTCCTGCAGGAATGAGGTGTGTGTGGCTACAGACTGGTTAATTGGGATTGGTGCCAGGTGTTCTCAGCTGTGGCCTTGTGTTGTCCTTTGAAGTGTCCCGGTATCACAGGCCACCACAGGCCTCCACCAGGACCAGTGCTTCCTAGAGCTTCACTTAATATGAATCTGCTGCCCATTTCCAGACAAGGGGACTCAGCCTAGGAGAGACTCACAAGTAAATATGGAAAGCGAGTTGGTTAATAGCAAATCCTGCTCAGAGCCACTTCACAGTGGTCTCCATCAGGCAATCACTGTATCTTCACAGAACATAGGGTTATTACACATTTCCCACACCACTAGAGTCTGCACCGTGGTGTCAAATCAGTTCTGTCCCATGATAGACGGGAGATCATTGAAATAACAAAAGCAGCTCTGCATCCGGGTGGGTGGAGCAGGAGGGAAAAATCTATGTTCCCTGCAAACATGTTGAAATTACTGCCCTGGTAGCTTTTCAGTTCTAGGACTCTCAGGAAGAGAAGGCCTTTGAGGCAGGAAAGGCACACGGGGATCCACCTGTCCCAACCTGAGTCCCTAGAGCCAGAAGCCACAGCGGACTCCTCCCTACGAGCCGAGGGAGGAGCTGAGTTCAGGTGCGCAGGGCCTGAGCACCGTGCCCGCTTCTCTGTGTAGCTGCACAGGATGGAATAAGTTTCTTATCCTTTCTCAACTTCTGTTTTCTATTTTAAGGAGGGGCGGGAATCACGTGTCCCCTTGCTAGTCTTGGTAGGGGCCCAATAATCAGGTGCAGGAAGCTCTGGTGACCGACCCCAGCCTGAGTTGAGGTGTGACAGACAACCTAGGTGGCTGTACGGGGCGGGGGGGGGGGGGAGTGCTGGAGTGGAGGAAGGAGCGCACAAGCAGGATCCCGGACCTCAGACTTCGCTGTAAGAACGGAGTAGGCGGAGCGCTGGAGTTCCCGGGGGCGGGGCGCGGGGACCTGGCACTATAGGCTCCCCTGGGACGCTCCCCGCAGGAACTCAGCGGCCGCTGCAAACTCTGCGGAGGGAGTCTTCCTGCAGTCCCGCACCTGTCGCCCTCACTTGTTGCCCGCACCGGCGGCGCTCACTCTCAGCCCACATCTCTCGCCGGCACCTGCACCCCTGCACCTGCAGCTCTGCACCTGCAGACCGGCCCAGCATGGCGGATCAAGCGCCCTTCGACACAGATATCAGCACCCTGACCCGCTTCGTCATGGAGGAGGGCAGGAAGGCTCGCGGCACTGGCGAGCTGACCCAGCTGCTCAACTCGCTCTGCACCGCGGTCAAAGCCATTTCCTCGGCGGTGCGCAAGGCGGGCATCGCGCAGCTGTGAGTTTGGCCTTGGGCCGTGTCTGTGTCTCTGTCAGTCCGCCTGTCCGATGGCCGTCCGTCCTTGGGCTTTCTGGTGCCCCTCCTATTTGCTTGTCCACCTGTCGACACCTGAGAACCTACATTTCTCTAGAAGCTTGCATAGCTGCACACAAACCCTCATTCCTCTTTCTCTTGACCTGGAGGTTCCCACCTGAATACCTGGCCGACCCGCAGGTGCAGCCCCCCTCCCTTGGTGAACATCTGAGTAGACTGCCTCGGCATTCCTCTCCTCTTTGCTCCCCCCCCCCATTAGAGCTGCAGATAGGAAAGTGCAAGCTGATGGGGGGTAGGGGTAGGGGTAGGAAGGCTTCCTTTTCTGTTCCTCTTGTTTGTTCTTCATACCCCTTGGAATTGGCCTCCCAAGGCAGATTTCTAATTCACTGCCTCTGTTGTGAGGGAATTGAACCCGAGGGGCCAGAATCAAGGATCAGCAATGTTGGTGCATGACACCGCAGGGGCTGCCCCTATCGAAAGCACACTCACCCTGTGGGCTCCAAAATTTCTACCCATTAGTGGCATGGTTTGGGCAGTACTTGCCCAATTCGTGAATGACTCAAAATGAACTAGGGAGTTCTTTTCAGACTTCTGTGTGACAGGAATCATGGGAGTCTTGTTAGGAAGAGTATCCTCTTTCAGTAGGTCTGGGATAGGCCTTGAAATTCTGCATTTCCAAGAAGTTCTCCTGTTATAGGGGTACCAGGGCTACTGGTCTACAATCCCATTGTGAGTGGCAAGGAGTCGGGGTATGTGAGGACTCCAGGGATGCCTTCTTGTAGTAACACTTTTTGAAGTTGTACAACAAGCTTTGGTTTGTTCTTGTGTGCCCAAGTATTTTATATCTGATTGGTCCTCACTTTAACTGAAAGGCACTGGGCTTTTCAGGTTGCCCATATGCATGCCCACCATTACACCTATAAATTCCACAAAAAGAACACATGCTACTCATTGCAACTTTGGAAAAATGCAATCCTGCTACTTTGGTTTGTTTTTTTTTTAATTTTTATTTTATTTATTTTTTTTGGTGGAACCAAGGATTCAACTCAGGCCCTTGAACTTGCCGGGGAAGTGCTTATTCTACTGAGCCATCTCCCTGGCCCCAATTCTGCTACTTTGAAAAGCACCCTTACACATTTGAAAGCTTCCCCCAATAGTGCAACCTAAATCTCTTTTTCTGGTAACTTCTGGTCCTACAGTATAAGTTGGTTTAGCAAATTCTTAGGAAATAACCATGTGAAAGATAGGTGCAGTTGTGCTAAGGAATATGACAATCGTGTCTTGGTAAGACATTTCTAAGAATTCTTGACCATGGTACACATACTCATGCAAATTTAATTTACTAATACAGGTAGCTTCACAGCTATAACTCTTTGTGAGGAACACAGAGCTCTTTTATTCTTTTATTTTTATTTATTTATTTACTTATTTTTTGGCGGAACCGGGGATTGAACTCAGGCCCTTGCGCTTGCCAGGGAAGCGCTTATTCCACTGAACCATCTCCCCAGGCCAAAAATTAAATGTTTCCAAACAATTGAACTAAGAAAAAGTTTTCATGATAGCAAAGAAGTACTAAGAGTAAAACATAAGATAAATACTGGAATGGCAAATAAATGACCAGCACTTCTAACAGTTTGAGGATAGGATATCACACAAAGTTCTACTGTGTTGTGGACATGCATAATAACCATGACAGTTACTGGTGGCCAGGCGTCACTTGTGGGACTGAGCTACAGCTATTTCTTTGAAACCCATCCTATAGACTCAGGTGGAATCATGACCCATAGGGTGGAAGAGAAGTCCATTTGTAGAGTGTGCTGATGGAAATATTTTGCTGCTGAACACAAAAGAATAACTGAAAGACTACTATTGTATACCTCTTATTCTCCTGTGTGTAATTGTTTTGCCCTATTTGGTGGGTTCTTTCCATTCTCATTCATGGGGCTGTGATCAATTTGCTCCCTCTCTAGAACATCATTTAGTAGTCTGTGTAGGCTTGGCTTTGTCATCATGAAATTCTTTAGTTGTTCTTTGTCATGGAAGTATTTCACTTCTCCATTGTACTTGAAAGGGAGTTTTGCCAGATATATCAGTCTGGGTTGGAATTTGTTTTCTTGCAAGACTTGAAGTACTTTGCTCCGTGCTCTTCTTGACTTGATGGTTTGTGAAGAAAAATCTGCCATTATTCTGATGGGTTTTCCTTTATATGTGATCTGTTTCTTTTCTTTAGTGGCTTTTAGTATACTGTTCCTGTGCTGAATTTCTGGGATCTTGATTATTATATGTCTGAGTGTGGTTTTAATTGGTTTGATGTTATTTGGAGTTCTATATGCTTCGGTTAGTGAATGTCAGATTGTTGCCCCATATTTGGGAAGTTTTTTGCTATTACTTCTGCCCATATTCTTTTTATACCATATGTATTGACTCCTTCCTTCTCATTGATGCCTATTAGTCTTACATTGTTCATCTTTGCATCATCTGGCAGGTATTGAATTATTTTTCCCTGCATCCTAGTTGTTTTTAAGAGATCTTTTCTTACTTTTTCACTAGCTGCAATGGTGTCTTTAAGGTCAGAAAGTTTATTTTCACTTTCACTCAAACAGTTTTGCCATCTTGTGATTGAGGTTTTAATTTTTTGTATATCACTTTGAACCTGTTTCATACATTCTATTTCTTTCCTAAATTGCTTATTCAGGGGTTCCATCATTTTTATATTCTGCTCTACTTTTTTATCAGTGTATTCTTTAGAAGCACTTAGTACTTCTTTGATTATAGTTGTCACTACATTTTTTAGTTCAGAAATTATTTCTGATCTGATTTCTTCTATACCTTTCTGCAGTTGATTCTTTACTGTCAACGCTATTATTTCAGAGATATCTGGTGTATGATTTCCAGTCTCCTCAGTGCTAGTGTCTTTTGCAGTTGTACTGGGTAGACTCGGGGCCTGAGACTGCATTTTGTTCCTTCTTTTTGTCATTTTGTATACCACTGTCTTCTGACCTTTGGTGTAGAGCTTAGATAGAGTTATTACCTTAGCACCAGGTCCGGATCTATGAAGTTCCGATTCCTCCAGGTGGGTGTTGCTTGGATCTGGCTGGGGTCTGGCTGCTGTGCTCCACTTTTTTCTGCTGCACCCGTTAGAGTTGAACACTTTGTGTCACTCTGGCAAGATGTTCTGCTCCTGAATCGGCTGGGTGGGTTTTGCTCTAGCCTCTTTGCAGGGAGTTCTGCTGAAGGGTTCCACGCCAGGCCTGCATTCTGCAAAGGAAAAAAAAAACAAAAAACCACAATATCCATTCTTCATTGTCAGGGCTTATAAAATCTACCCTCTTCTTTTTAGCTGTGGCATGCTGTTCTACTGCACAGATATTCTATGAGTTATGGGACTCTCATAAATGTCTCTATTTCAGTTTTCACCATTTTCTTTTCTTTTTTTTTTTTTGCGGAACCGGGTATTGAACTCAGGCCCTTGCACTTGCCAGGGAAGCGCTTATTCCACTGAGCCATCTCCCCAGCCCCAGTTTTCAACATTTTTGACTGTTACAGGGTTGCAATAAATGTTGATCCTTGGCCATGCAGGTAGCTGTTGGGAAGCACCAGAATTGTGACATGTGAAGACTCTTATGGGAAAATAAAAGTTTGACTGTTCTCAGTATGATGTGTAGTCAGGCAGGTAGCAAGAAGACAAGATCTCAAGCCAGGCCTCCAAATTACGTTCATTACGGGCTTTGATATGTTGGTGAAGATCCCATATGCCTGCAAAGAGCTTATTAGTGCCAAAGATTCTCCCTAGATTTGCGGGCACCCAGAAGGATGTGATGATTGCAGATATGCAAGAATGCTCCTGAGACCAGTTTATGCCACTCATCCAGGACCTTTCATCAGGAGGTCAAGAGCTGGAGCAGTGGGGGCCGGGGAGATGGCTCAGTAGAATAAGCGCTTGCCTGGCACACTCAAGGGCCTGAGTTCAATCCCCGGTCCCACCAAAAAAAAAAAAAAAAAAGAGCTGGAGCAGAGAGACTGATGTGCTCACACTTTACCTCCCCGTCTCTGTCAAGCTAAAGTTGCCTTTCTGCTCATGTTCCTTGTTCCTAGTAAGATGTTCTAAGAATGATGCAGTTTTGAACTGAAAGAGACTCAAGCTACCTAATGCAGTTTTCTCTTTGTACAGATGAGGACTTTGAAGCCAGGGAAAATTGATTTGGCTTGTAATCCAGGATTCCAGAAACCCAGTTTCAGACTTTTTTTTCCCCCTAAAAAAAAACTCATTAAAGCTTGACGGGGAGTATAGCTTAGTGGTAGAGGACTTGATTAGCATATATAAGGCCCTGGATTCCATCTCCAGCACCACACACAAAAAATTTTTATACTTCACTAGATTAAATCTCGTTCATCAGTCACACTTGCAGTAAGAATAATGTCCAAAGGACTACTGCTAATGTGCCCTTGAAGCCTTATCTTTTGGTTTTGCTCCCCATTATTCTCTGTCTAGAGAGAGGACAGGCAGATGCATGCCAAGGGGGAGCAGCCTTCTGGTTTTGTTTTGTTTTGTTTTTAAAAAGAATGAGCAATTTGTAAGTCAAACTGGTAAATTCATGATTCAAATGTCAAATTCAAGTGTTTCTCCACTTCTTTGTTTTTATTCCTTTGGGGGAAAGTTGGCCTCCCAGTGGCTTAGGCTTTTTGGCCCTGTAGTGTTGGTGGATAGCTGACTTCCCTTTGTACACATTTCCAAATCACTGTCTGAAGAATGTACTGGTTCTGTGCCATTTAACAAACTGACACCAAACACCCACAATGTACAAAGTTCCAGGAGAGACTGAGAGATGGAACAACACAGAGCTTACTCTAGAGGAAAAATAAGGCAAGTGTAGAATTAGTTATAAAACCCAGTGTGGTTCTGAAAGCGGCTTTCATGGTTTCCAGACTTAAGATTCAGGTGCAAAGGATTACGGCACATCAGA